ATCATCCACTATTATGTTACTGTATTGGGTCTTTCTCTCCCTTTACATCTAGTGCTGTTTATTTTATATAATGGGTGCTCCGATGTTTGGTGCATATAAATTTATAATCATCATGTCTTCTTGATGAATTTTTCCCTTGATCAATATATAGTAACCTCCTTTGTCTACTGATTTTGTCTTAAAGTCTATTTTGTTAGATATAAGTACAGCTACTCCTGCTTGCTTTCGAATTCCATTCACATGATTTTCCGTCTGTTATTTGGATGAGATGTCCCCCCCAAAAGTTAATGGTAGACAATGAAGGAAAGTTCAGATATGAAATAATTAGATTATCAAAGTTATGACCTAACTGGTAAATCAATACATCTGATGGATTAATAATTTTGTATGGATTACAGATGGTAACTGTAGGCAGGTACGGTGTGACTGGAGGAAGTAGGTCATGGGGAATGTGCCCTTGAGGATTATATTTGGTTTCTTGCTCCTGCTCTCCTTTCTACTTCTGGCTGCCATGAGCTGAGCAGCTTTCCCCTATCATGATGTTCTGCTTCATCTCAGACCCAGAGCAGTGGAGTTGTCTGACCATGAAAGGACCCTGAAACTAAGCCCCAGATAAACTTTTTCTCTTCTAAGTTGTTGTCAGATATTTTGGTCACAGTGATGAAAAGCTGACTAATATACCATCTTTTCACCTTCTGTCTGAATATCTTTGCACATAAGGCAAGTTTCTAAGAGACAGGGTATTGTTGGTTCTTATTTTTAATCAATTCATGCAGTCTGTTGGGTTTTTTCTTTTCTTTTCTTTCTTTCTTTCTTTTTTTTTTTTTTTGAAAGGGGGGAGTACTGGGGATTGATGTACCACTGAGCTACATTCCCAGGGATGTTTTACTTATTGTTTTTGAGACAGTCTCACTAAGTTGTCAAGATTGGCCTTGAATTTTTGATCTTCCTGCCTCAGCCTCCTAGTTGCTGGGCATATCGGTGCACGCCATCACACTTGGTCTTTTCATCAGAGAATTAATACCATTTATATTTGGTTATTACTGAAAAGTATAGACTTTTCCTGTCATTTTATTGATTTATTTTTTTCTGGTTATTTTTCATATTCTTTGTTTTTATTCGTCTTTTAAGTTTGATAGTTTACTTTATTGATAATGTTTCATTTCTCATTTGTACATCTCTTCTAATGGGATTGATTCTTCCATGTGCTGTCATGATGGTGATTATCTTTCTTCCTCTTTGAGGTGTAAATTTTCCCTAAGCCTCTTTTGAAATGTTGGTCTGGTGGTCATGAATTCCCTTAGTTTATTCTTTTCTTGGAAGGATTTTCTTTGTTGATTCTGAAGGATAATGTTGCTGGGCATAGTAATCTTGGTTGACAGTTGCTTTCTTACAGGATTTGAAATGCATCCATCATGTCCTCCTGGCCTTTAGGGTTTCTTCTAAGAAATCTGCTGTTAGTTCAATGGGTTTGACTTTAAATGTGACTTTCCCTTCCTCCACCATGAGAGATCCTCAAAGGCACAGGGGGCAACCAAACCACCAAGTTCTGTGCTGGAATGGGGTAAAGGAACTGCAGGATCTGTCATCCTCAATCCTGGTGTCTTTAATCCTGGCTCCTGGGCAAAATCACAGCTGACTATTCTTTCCCCAAATCTCAGAGGGCAGACCCCTCTGTCCATTGACTCCAAAGGGCAGTATCCTATGCTTTTCTCTGCATCAAGACCTACAGAATAGAACTCCCAGCAGGCTTGTGTTCCAGTCACTCCCTTGAACCAAGACTCTTATGTCTACCACTGCCCAGCCAACGCAGTAGGGTGTCCACAGGGTCCAGGAGATATGAATATGCTGGGGCTTCTGAACCACAAAGCAGTACAGTTTCAGACAATAGGACCCTTCTCAAGGGGGTTGCAGTGAACTTCTCTAAGGTTAACCTGCTGGGCAGATTCCAGATCTCTTCTTGCTTTAGGCTGTATGTCTGTAGGGTATAGACTTCTGCACCATCCTTCAACTTTCTCTTTCACTTTTAGAAAGTTCCCTTCTCCTGGATGTGGTGCTTCTACCAGGTGCTGGGGTTCTCCATTTCTCTTGCTGTAATTGCTAGTTTATGAATTTCACCAGGTCTTGATCTCTCTGCTGTTGATTTCTGGTACTCGCCCACTGCTACTTAACCTGCATGTATGGTTGTATGCCTGTTGCTTTAGTCTGTCCTGTGAACAATTTCTGGATGCCTCGATTGCACCATATTGCTCCCTTCTGCAGGTATTTAATGCTTACTCTGCCATATCATGTTCTAGGAACTATTTAGTGTTGGAAAACAACTGCTTTTATTAAGTATGCACTCAGTCAAATCCTCTTATTCATAGCCCTTAGGACTCCAGTGCTCACCTGAGGACATCTCCTTGGTTTCCCCACTAAAAATTGGATGGAATTAAGACCACTTTTCCCAAAGTCAGACTCACAGGCTTCAGATTCTAGTATACTCTGTGTGTCACAAAACCCTGTTGCCCAAGCCAAAAACTTCTATTGACTTTGACATGCTCATGTTTTTCCTTAACCTCAAACATTCTAAACTTTCTTTCTCTCTTTCTCTAAAAGCTCCTGATTCATCCTTTACCTATCTTATCTCATTATCTCCCCCAGAGTTCCTAGCTGATTTCTTTGCCTCTCCCATGAATACCCATGACATATCTGTCCTTTGCCTTTTACTGTGAAACATGCTTGTAATAGTTGGTGGTGATCTAACTTCCCAGCCTGGTTAAGTGGACTTTCATCAGCTGCCCTTGCCTGCTGGACCCATCTCATTTTGTGCCCAATTGTCTTTTCCCATGAATCCCCTTTTGCATCTTGTCTTTTATATGAAGTTAAGCTCTCTCTAATATCCTGGGTAGCTGGTCTCTCCATGTTCCCTCTTGCTCTGTCATTGTATGTGTGGGCATGCATACATGTATATGATATTATATAATGATTTCTTTATATGTCTGTCCTCCTTAAGGTGGGCTCTGTGAAACACAGGCAGGGTCTTTTCTGTTTATATATCTATTACACTATATCTCACATACCCAATCCTTAGTTTTGTTTAATGAGTTAATGAAATAAAATATACCAGTTTGTCACAGGGTTTTCATAGACAGCCTCTAGCCACTTCATTTAATGACACATGAATGGCATTTCTAATCTTCCTGCAGTTTGCTAGGACATTTCCTGTTGTAGTTTGCATCTGAAGTGTTTCCCAAAGGTCCAGGTAGTGAACACCTGCTCCCTGGGGGCTGTTGAGAGGTGTTGGGACCTGGTGGGAGACCATTGGGGGAAGAGGAGGGGGAAGAGCCCTTCCTCTTTCACTTCGGTTTGCTTCTCCCAATCATGATGTGTTACTCTGTATCATGTGCTGCTGCATCATGCAGTTGGCCAAAGGAATGGGGCCAGTTGATAAAGGACTGAAACCTCTGAAACAGCCAAAATAAACCTATTCTCTCCTTAAATTAGTTATCTCAGTTTTTTTAGTAATGGAAAATTATCATACTTATAAGCCATCTACCAGATATATCCCCAAAAAACAGACTTGGAGGCTCCTTTTATACTTTGTCTATCATCTCCTAACAACTCTAATTGCTAAAAGGTACTACAAGCTTAGAAAGTTTCAAAGCCCTATCATTCACCTGTTGTGAATGAGTTTCCTTTTTTTATATTACTTCCTTATAAAGATCCTCAAGGATATTTTCTAGAAGACACTTGTACATGTCTAACTGGCATTTAAAACTGTTTGGGTGCAACATGCCCTTTCAAAATCAAACAGACATGCATGTGTTGCTCATATCTATATAATGCCAGTCACACAGCTGATGATGATGAAACTTGTACTGTGCTCAGTCTGTGCTGGGCACTGTAGTAAATGCTTTAGATTGATTACATCATCTATTTCTATATAGTATCTCCATTTGGTTGATGAGGAAAGCAAGCAAAAGAGAGCAATTTGCCCCTAAAAAATTAATTTGTCCATAGAAACCAGAGATAGTAAGAGGCAGCCAATAGGCAAATCCAGGTGTCCTATTCCAGAGCATATACTTAATAACATATGGAAATTAATAAGAGTACACATCTAAGAGTAGACTCTTAAGTCTAGTTTTCTTCACTGAGCAGATACTGAAAGTTGAATTTGTGAGACATTGTATTTCAGAATTATCAGTTTCCTTGGGTAATGTGCTCTTTTTTGTTTTTATTTTTTAAAATTCTAACACATGTTTTTAGAAGGCACAACTTCTTCATGCAATGAATTTGAAACATTATAGTGATTTCTCACCTAGGAATAATGATGATAACCTTTCTCTCTTGACTGCTACAGATTCCTTCAATTTTTTGACAAAGTTTTATTTTGATTGGACTACTGAGGAAAATTGCTACAAAAAACCACCAGCCTAGTAATTGGCAGTTCTCTTGGTGTCACAGTAATTTATGTAAAATGGAAATTTTCATTTAAAATGCATAATCTATGACAATGGCCTCAGAAACAGCACTTCACTTTGGGACCTGTCCGTGCTTTGAAATCCTAATGAGGACAGTATGCAGTGTTCCTGCAGGCAGGTTTAATTGATTGGAAAAGTGAATTTTCTCCTAGCAACAGTGTTCCCCCCATCAAATTTAAGTCAAAAGCTAGCTTGAAAGTAGAGCAGTGTTTTGTAAGTACCCATCATCATATAAAGCATTATAGACTCATACAGATTTTCTAATTGGAGAATTATAATAGTATCTGCTTTACAAGGTAACCAAATAGGTAAGATCAGATGAAATCATCAAATTGTACTAAACCTCTCTTTACCAAAGCTAAACATTTCAACTTGGACCCATCAGGTAATTAATTACTTTGGGATACCTTAGACTCTTGGTTTTGAAATCAGCTCATTATATGATTTAAAATGAGAAACAAATTTGAATAAAAGGTGATCACTGTCTGTCTTTTATGTAATTGGAAGATGTAAAAAGAGGACATTTTTCTCTTTCAGCCTTGCCTTACACCCAGATAAAACTCTCATTGCAACTGGCCAAGTTGGGAAGGAGCCGTATATTTGCATATGGGATTCCTATAATGTCCAGACTGTGTCTATTCTCAAAGATGTTCACACACATGGAGTTGCCTGCTTGGCTTTCGACTCAGATGGACAGGTGTGTATCTTTCTCTGTTTATGTTTTCCTTAATTACTTTTTACAATTCACCTAAAATTAGAAGGCAAATAGCCAACCTTTGCTGGCTTCTCTTGGCAGCCTTCTTCCTTGAATTCCTCACAGCTTTGGCCCTTTTCCAAACTTGTTGTACTGTTATCAAGCTCTGTATATATGCACCAGCGTTGGTTTTCCCAGTCCCACTGTCTGGTTTAAAAAAACCTCCATAGAAGAAGTCATGAGCTTATGAAGGTAGGCCCACCATGATTCAGCAATTCCATTTTGACATCCATTGTAGCTTCCCCCTTAGAATAAGGACTGGACCAAGCCATTTTTGCAGACCTCAAGTCCTGAGCATCATGTTCTACCCCTTGATTTCAGAAGGTAACATCACCTAATAATCCACTGAGAAGATTCTCTTTGACTCTTTACCTTGAGGTCATTTCTGACTCCTTTTCCCCACCATTCCCAGTCATCAATTCCTGCGTATTTATAAGTTTCAAGTTTCTTTACAATAACTCTGACATTCATTCTCCCCTTCCCATTCTCAGTGCCACTGCCCACTAAGTTCCAAATTAGAGCCATGTCCAATTTAGTTTAAGTAACTTCTGGTCCCCTCTTAGTTTCTTGATAACGCTTTTCATCAACTGAAGGAAGCGTTGAACCATTCTTTAAAACCAATACAATCTCAGGGTACCACTGAATGAATTCCACACTTTGTAGATGGGCCTTCTAGGTTAGCTCCAAGTTCCAAAGTAATCAAATTGGACAAGTTAGTAAGATTCCTCTGCCAGGTCTTGTGCTTTGCTTACTTGCGTGGCCCCTTGAAGAGAACCATTCTTTGAAGACACTTCAAGGGTCCTTGTGAAACCTTCCCAGTCTCTACAACAAAGATATCCCCCCTTCACTGGATCTATAGCAACGCTTGCCAGAAAAGATGTTAATATGTTACAGTAAAGGATGGAAACAGGTCATTCCTGGCTGCCACTGCATGTGCCTTCCTGCTAAGGCTGTGCTTCTCCATGTGCCTTTGCCACCCTTCCTTTGTCTTTATCATCTTATGTCAGTTAATTCCTTCAATTCAGTTTTTGGTAAATTTTGGACTTGGTTTTGTAAATCAGTGCCATGAAATGATCTGGGATATTATTCACAGAAGCTTGACAAATAGGAGTTTATAGAAAATTCAGTAATTATAGGAGGTGGCCAGGTTTGACTTCTTTTTAAATAATTCACATTTACTTGGTGTTTTCTGCTAGTTTAGTCATTATTCAGTCAAATTTAGTCGTTATTTTTTCTAGCGCTAGATTTATTATATATGTAGGCCCCTGACATATGTGATTTTAATTTTACTAGTTGGTAACCTCATTCAGTTTTGTCAGAATGATGCATACATTCCGTCATAGTGCCACATCTAAAGAGCAGTGGCAGCTGGGTAGTGATAATTTGTTCAGGCTTGCGGTTTTATTGACTTCCTGATTAAATGGAATGAATGTGTCAGGATGCATACGTATGTATAAGTGTAAATTTGTGCTTCTATGTGTATCTATATGCACATTCTCTAATCTCATTACTTCAAGCAAACATCTAAAATTTGTTCTGAAATATAACAAGAAAATGTAATGCAGTGGAGGGTGATCCATCTTTAACTATCAGTTCTTGGTACATGTTATTTCATTTAGAATCCCAGCTATTCCCTTAGGGCTTTATTTTGAAGGGTGGGATGGGTGGATTGCGGATAGGCAACTGTCAATTGAGAAAAATAACCTCTTATTTGTTTACAATTATGGATTTCACGGCTTGTTGATGCCTATTGCTTCAGGTCTGCTATATTCCCTGGACAGAGTTCTCTGGAACCAAATGATATTTAGAAAACAATAAACGGCCCATTAGTTCACAATTGACAAAAGGCAATAGAAATGCTTATCTAGGGGTAAGTGGTTCAGTGGTAGAGCACTTGCCTAGCATGTGTGAGGCACTGTGTTCGATTCTCAGCACCACATATAAATAAGTTAAATAACGGTCTATCAACAACCAAAAAAAAATTAAAAACAAAAAAATGCTTTTGTAGGTAACTATAGGACCTGTCACTACAAATGAACAAAATCTATTTCTTTTGACTTTTTTTCATTCAAATAAGAATCTTACCTTTCCCATGTTTAGCTGCCTTTTTTTTTTTTACTACTAAAAACTGAGTGGAATTCACACATTCTAATTTTCTTATATGGATAAAAGCACAATCACATCTTATTTCCATTGCTGGAAACCTTGATGAAAAATTACAGCAGAAACCTTTCTTAAAGACATGTTTTAAAATCTCTGAGGTTCCCTAGGTCTGACATTAAGATTTTAAATTAAAAAAAATTAAAAATTTATCCCTTGCCTTCAAGTCCAGGTCCTATAACTTCTGCTGATCTTTCAGGACCTTGTGAGAGTTTGAATATGTTTTTCCTTTTTTTCAAAAGGACATATGAGCAGTGGCTTTTAGTTTTTTTAAAATTTTGGTACCTACTAATGGAAGTCATGTATTATAATACCTTTTGCTCTGTGTTTAGAATGGATTTCAAGAAATCAATTTATAAGAAATTCAATGCCTATCCTATAGGAAGAAATCACTATTTGTTGAAAGTAAACATGAGTAATAGGAAATCTTCACATCACTTTCAGATATTAAATTATTCTTTTTTTTTTTTTAGCGTTTAGCCTCTGTGGGATTGGATGCCAAAAACACTGTCTGCATTTGGGATTGGAGGAAGGGAAAACTTCTGGCTTCAGCCACTGGCCATTCCGACCGGGTAAGACCTTTATTAGATCAAACTATGCAGTTTTCAAAACTGTAGCATAATTGTGATACTGCTTCTCAGATTAGTATATTTCTAAAAAATAAATTGTGTTACATGTAGGTTTTTTTCCCCTACAAAGTCAATTTATAAACATTATTTCCTTTTTACTAATGATGTAGTGTGCTACGTTAGCATCATTGCTTCTAGAGATCACATACTTTGAATTTCTACTGCTTTTCATAGATGAAGAAACTTTTTTAAATCTGTTTTTTCTTAAGTTGTATATAGACTCAATGCCTTTGTTTGTTTTTATGTGGTGCTGGATTGAACCCAGTGCCTCATAAGTTTCGAGGCAAGTGCTCTACCACTGAGCTACAACTCCAGCCCTAAAGCAAATTTTTGATGCTGGCACTTGACTTCTTCCTAAAATAAAAATAGAATTAAAATTTAAATTATATATGTAGTTTAGATGTATTCATTTAGACATGGAAATAATTGCTAGAAATATTCACGATTATAAGGGTATGCATTTTAATTTTAAATGACCGTAATGACAATTTTGTGATTGTTATATTTGAGAATGTTGAATGCACATGTGGCCTGATTACCATTCATATTGAAGTCAGTGTGATGAGAAATGATAATTCCATGTAGTCATGGCTGGCAAGGTAAAGAATGGGCAGCTATATGCACACAACTGGTCAGAATTCAAATTTCTCCATTGTCTTGCATACTTGAATAATTCGACTCCTTTCTTGTCTTGCTTTCTAGTTTAAAAGAAAAATGAATTTGCATGAATATCTTACCTTGAATCTCTAGTTGTTTTGTGTTTCTATACAATATAATTATCTTTCTATATAGAATGAGGCCATAATTAAACTTTTTCATTATCTCTTGCATAATTGGAACTCTGAAAATATTTTATAAGAATGTTACGTTCATCTGGAGATGTATAGTTATGAAGGGACTTCACAGCTGTTGCAAATTCCTCTCCAGGAACAGGTCTTCACAAAACCTAGCAGTGACAAGCAATATAATTTAAGTGTTGAAAAAGGACTGGGGCCCCTTTGATTCAGTGGATCCCAACCCTAGCTGCATGTAGAATCCCCTAGAGAGATTTCACTGCATAGTAACAAAAGGACTTTACCCTCAAGGATTTTATTTCTTTTTTTTCTCTTTCAGTGCTGAGGTTTGAACCCAGGACCTTGTATATGCTGGACAAGCACTGTCCCACTGAGCTTTTCCCCTGGCCCCAGGGATCTGAGTTTAATAGATACTTAGTACTTAATGAAATATTTAGGTTGAAATATTTCAGTTCTTGAGTTTTGGTTGCTACTTTTCCTGCTCATACTGTGATCCTATCATACATATCTTGCAAGTTGTGTTGGACTGGGTTAATACATGAACAGACAGTGATTACCAAAAGTGGACTTCAGACCCAGTACACAGGATTGGGATGCCCTAGCCAACTCTGATGAAAACAAACTTCATGTAATTTCTAAGTAATTCTGAAATTACTACTTCTAATTCTGCATCATTTTATACAGCCTGATCTAATATACTGTATTAGCCTGGTTTAATATACTATATGTTAGACTTTTGAACCTATTGCCTTGGAAAAAAGTGTTGTAAATACAGTAAAATATCCTTACTTAGAAAAATGGCCTAATGTGCAGACCTTTGTATACAAACTTTCTATACCTTTGCATATATAAAGTGCTTTTAGTGTGTTGTTAAATTCCTGTTAAACTAAATTTGGCCTGACCCTGCCTCCATGTCTTAAGTCCCTACCAATCTACAAACCAAAAACCTAACTTAGAAGTGTACTTTTGAAACAAATAACTGAGGCTCAGCCTATCATAGCAGCTGAGCTTCAGTGAATTGCAGGCTGCCAACCGAGCAGACCATGGGTAAATGAGGCAAAAGCCAAGCTCTAGCACCATCTGAGCTATTGGTACCTGACTTATGTGTCCTGCCTGCATATGTTTCAGAATGGAGCTCCTGAATCTATGCTGGTCCTGAGGGCTGTCCAGTTTGTAAAGGCCTCTGTTCAGTTAAATTTTAATTTCTCTAAGTTGCTGCTTGTAACATGTCACGTGACCAGCTCATCTGATCTCAATGACTGTCCTTTTTGCTCAGTTATATTTTCCAATTGGGGGTAGATTGTAAAAAGTGCAGTGTTAGTCTAGTGAGAAATGAGTCCAGATTGCTTTAAGGAAATACCTTACACTGTCCCTAGGCCCTGTTAATTTGTATCACATAGTTTGTTCTTTATTACTGATGTCTTTATTATTGGTGCCAGTATGAGTTATTGGTTGCTTATGATTAACTTCAAGATTATTTTAGTCACTAAAATACTTAACATATTACATTTGTATAATGGTGCTTTATAACCTGCAAAGTGATTTCATTTACATTATCTTAACTGATATTATATATATATTTTTTAGATGTTGATAGGCCTTTATTTTATTCATTTATTTATATATGGTGCTGAGAATCAAACCCAGAGCCTCACACATGCTAGGCAAGCATTCTACCACTGAGCCACAACCCCAGCCCATCTTAACTTATAACCAAACTGAGGTAGAATTATCCATTTTGGAGACAATTAAGTTAAGGTTAGAGATGCTGGGACTGAGCTCAAATAGGGAAAACGAATCCTTGGACCAAGTCCTTTTTCTTTAGTGCACTTTCTAGAGCTCATAATTACTCCTTTCTAGGTGATGACAAGCTAGTGGCTTAGGTTCCTTCGCTTGTCTAGACTTTGTCCCTGACAATTGTTCCCTTCCCCTTATGAGTACTTCACAGAATGTGGTTCATGGACCACCTGCATCAGAATCTCCTGGAGACTGTTTAAAAGTTCAGGTTCTTGGACTCTATTCCAAAACCACCTAATGAGAGTGTTTTGAATGAATCCTGGAAAAACACATTTTAAACAACAGGACAGACACATTTGACTTTCAGTGTTGGTGGACCTCTCTTCCCTGTCTCCAAAATGGAAATGGAACTCCCTGTAGACTCTCTGGTAGCTTTTAAAGAATGACAAATAAGATTAGCTCCTGTGTTTTCAGTTCCTTAGAGAATTGGAAATGTGAGTATTTTGGGTCAAATTAAAATGAAGGTTTAAAGGACTATTTTAGGTGGGCTAATTAGTGTCAGATAACTAACTTTGTCTCACATTCTGTGATGATTAGAAGATGTTGGCCACATTAAGTTGTAGTTGACAAAAATTTTCCTAGCTAAAAGGAAGCATTTTATAATTCTTTTAATTTTTATTGAAAAACTGTCTCCAAAGTGTTTTATCTGCACTGCAAATAAAGGTAGAAATTTGGTTTAAAAATTACCCTAAATCATGAGAATTTGTTTACCCCAGATGAACAAAAATAAAATATGATACTAGTTCCCAGTTCTGGGGTTAATTACCTCTCTATTCAGGCCAAAGGTAAGTAGACATGAGGTGGTGAAGAGTTAGCTGTACCTGACTTGTTCCCAAAGCTGAATCCCAGTTTTCCATTCTGTGCAGGTTACGTTGTACTCTAAGTGTTTTAGGATAGAGACTTAGCAGTTGTACTGGTTTTCAGAAGAAGATAGAAACACATAAAATGACCAACTTTTTTTTTTTTTTTTTACAGATTTTTGATATTTCCTGGGATCCATATCAGCCAAACAGAGTGGTTAGCTGTGGAGTAAAGCATATAAAGGTAAAGTAGTTATTAAACAAAATTTTTATACCTTGTATGAAAAGAATTTTAGGTGTCAATATAATTGGGGGTTGAGAGATTGCTTGACTTTACTTTTTTTCCTTAAACTTGAAGCCCTTTTACCTGTTCCCCTGATCCTGAAGCAAGCCAGCATCAGCTGATAGTGCTCTTTCAGAAATACAAAGTCATGATAATCAAGTGAAACACTCAGCAGGCAGCTGAGAAAGAAACTTTGTTAATTAAATACGCAACTGGATACTTCTGATACTTCTAGAATGTTTTAAAATAGTTGCACTTTTTAATATTATGAATTAAGTTTTTAAATTATAATGAATGTTTACTGATATTGCTCGTTGAATCTTTGACACATTGGTGTGTTTTCTTAGGTGTTTAACATAGGAATATAATACAGTCCTTCCTAAGCTATTGGTGTTTTTTTTTTAACCTTTTTAACTTTTATTTATTTATTATTTTATGTGATGCTAAGGATTGAACCCAGTACCTCACACATGCTAGGCAAGTGCTCTACCACTGAGTCACAACCCCAGCCTCTAAGCCATTGGTTTTTTAAAATTTTGCAGTATTGGGGATCAAACCTAGGGCCTTGTACATGCAACATAAGTGCTATACCATTGAGCTACATCCCCAGCCCAGGCCACTGGTTTTTAAATGCCTCCTGCCTTCCTCTAGACTATACAGGCTGAACCTGCCTCCTACAAGGCCCACATTTGCTTCTTTTTGTTTTGTTATACAGCTAACAAAATTAATACCGTCAACATACTGTGCTTTCACATAGCAAGAATTTCTCCTGAACTATGGGATATGGTGCAGGATCTTCTGTCTATAATGTTGTAGATAATATAAATTCAAGTCCATAAATAAGAGTACAAAAATCGCCCTGGTGAATGGAGCATGTCTGAATCTCTGTTAATACAAAAATGGTACTTTTCTATATGAATCGAGTAGATCCTGTCATTCCTCCAAATTGCCCTTCTTGTTTCATCACATTCCCAACTTTTCCCTAGTGTACGTTATTTATATGCAGGATTTCCCTTGACATAAGTACCAGTAACACATGGACCTAGAAAACTCATAAGGAGAAGCATACATTATTGTTTTATTATAATAACAGCTATTTCTCTGAGGTCAAAATATCTAAAGATCACACAAATTTATATTATCCTGTTATGAAAAGACTCTAAGCCACATCACTCTATTCCAAATGAATGGGGTGGGAAGTATGCAGAAAAAGTACATCTCCCTTTAATCTTCTTCCTACAGCTAAAGTTTAGATCATATAATCTATCAGAGGGGGTAAAAATCTGGTGGGTTAGTTACAGATAAATGCGGCCACACTGTTATCACAAGAAATTTTGGTAATAATTTTTGTAGTGTGGTATTTAAAGGTATAAGATGTTCTACTAAGACCTTAAGGCTTCATAAACATTTTAAGTTTATGGTATAAGATGGTATTCAAAGTTATAAGATGTTCCGCTCAAAGGTATAAGATGTTCTACCAAGACCTTAAGGCTTCATAAACATTTGAAGTTCTTGTGCAAAGACCTCATCTTCAACCTGAGAAGATGTCTGCTGGCATGCACTTTTTGCTTTAGTGGCAGATGGAAGCTCCTTCCCCTATGCTTTGTACAGTACACCTGAAAGGCCAAAAATCTTGTGCCATTTAATAAATACTTGCTGAGTTTGAACTATGTGAAAGAGCAAGCACAGACCCTGTTTTCAGTAACTTGAAGTTTAGAGGTTAAAATGTTGGAACAGAACATCTATAAGAAAGGCAAAACTCCAAACCTCCCGGGGTATAAAGGAGATCCCATATGGTATGAGGTACATTGTTCTGGAGCCTTGGTAGGCAGCAGAGCCCAGGGAGACTTTCTCTTTAAATCAGGATGTTAGGGAGGCTTTGGTCACCCATGGAGTCATGGCACTGGGGAGCCAGGAAGGTCCTTGGCTCTTGATGTGTGCCAAGATTACCAATGGTTGCATCATTGAAGAACTTCTTTATGTAGTTTGCTTTCTGTGAGAACCATTGTTTTGAAAGATTTTTTGGCACAAAATAGTAATTAAAGAATAGTTCCCTTAGCAGCCTTTTATTGATCAAATATGTGTCTCTGCGGCGTGAGTTTCTGATCAGCTGAAGATAGGAAGAAGCACTGAGTTGTTTTTCAAGTAAAGTAGTAAAGAATCATGAGGTCATGATGAGCTGATTTCCATTAGGCTCTGGTGGTTTCCTGGATATCTGGGAGCCACAGTCCAACCTCCACTGTCCAGCCTTCTTCCACAGGAAGCTGAGACCCAGGAGGGTACTTGATTTTGAATCCTGATTCTGTTTCTCTTTCTTGACCCTGGTCAAGCTATTTAATCTCCGTGAGACTGACTTTCTTCCTCTCCCCACCACCAAATATGGGGATTGCTACCTCCTGAATTCATTGAGTTGCATTAAAGAGTGTATGGTACCAATAGGGGCACAACAATGTTAATTTTTCCTTATTTTCTAGGATCACAGAAATGGTGGCAGGGAGATTTAAACGCATCCTTTGGCTCCCTTTGTAGAGTTCTTCCTACAGAGCAATTCTCTCTTTAATGGTCTGTCTTGGCTTAACTTTTCTCCAAAACATAACATTAATTGGGTTCTAACTAGATGAGCTGTTTAATTGAAAGAATTCTCCAGCTTCCTCCCTATTTCTTTCCATCCTTGGTTAACTCTTTTAGTTCTAAACACACAGACAGATAAAATTCTGGAGCTTTATTTGAAAGTACTATGCTGGAAAAAATTATCCTGGAAATAATATCCTGTGGAAAACAGTAGCATTGACATCATTCAATCCCCTTCAAAAATACTATCCTGTTTTCCACTTATCCTGTTTAGTTATTGTAGCAGATTTATGCATTTTTTTCCTAAGCAAAAATGAGCATCTTTACCTCAAATGGAAGAATCTGCAAATGTCCACCCAGAAAGTCTTTATGAATTTTATTTAGAAATACAGAACAAATTTAAGCAGGCTTTGATAAGTTGTCTTCACTACCTATATTCTAAATTTGGGTTCCAGAATTCCTCCACATTTTTCTCCCTCCCCAACCTGTGTTAACGTTGAGTGAATGATTCTAGTCACAAGTTGGGCACAAAATCTTTGCATTTCAAGAGAACATTTTTATGTGAAGGTTTTGTAGCTAGGGTAAAAATCCTTCCTGGTTTTGTAAGTTCTGTGTTTGGCAAACAGGCAAATTACAATTATCTGAAACGAATGCTTGCAAAACAGTAACAGTTGAGCATCATCTGCTTCATTGGTTTTACAGCAAATGAGCCTACAGGTCTGTGCATACTGTTGAGCCTTCTCCAATTTCTAGTTGTAGACCTCAGAAGCCTGGGGGACTACCTAGGGCTTGATGAACTCCGAGGCACCTGCCAGTTCTAACAAAATTTGCATTGCAATTTGTGAATGGAGATTGGAGAAGATAAACAATGTCTCTCCATTGGATGGGGATTTAATGATGCCAATGCTACTCTTTTCCAAATAGAAAATGGTCTCCAGAAGAGATAATATCTTGGGTATTTTCCATTCTCTGCAGAAAATCTTCTGGCATTATATCTACATATGCCTTTTAAGAGAACCCTTTGATTTATTCAGAATGTTTCCTGTCATTACACTAACTGACTGGGTGATTGTTTTATCAGAAAACCTTTATCTGATCACATCTGAGGGTGTTCTTCTTTTTTTGTATGCGTGTAGCTGTCCATCAAAAAAATAATTAACTGAAGCTGGCAGTGCACATCTCAAGTCAAAGGACAAAATACTCTGTTTAATCCTCCTTCGTGAGGAGACACGAGAAAGGAAAACACCTGCCCTGGGCATCTCCATGAAGCAAGTTCTTCGTCATATTTGTATTAACAGTAATTATTTGTGTCCAATTGTACAAATTCAGAGTTAAAACCTCAACTTAGCTTAAACCTAACTAGCCTTTTCCCTGAATGTTTTTATTCTTTCAATGTACACTTCAGTGCCTTTTCACAAAAATAACGCCACCTAAAGAAATGAATGGTGCTCCTCCCTCAAGAGGAGCATCCTGAGTTGCTCCCCATAGCTGCACACCTGCTTCTCTTCCCACTTCCTCCAGGGCTGCCACAGTCCCCACCATGCTACCAATGGTGCAGTCATCCCCAGACTGCCTCCCTGTGTACCCAACTACACCAGGGGACCTCCCTTTTCCTCTCCTGCGGTCACATAGTATTAGGGTAGTCACTGAATTTCTTTTTTCCTTCCTCACACACTGCTGTCACCGGGTGGTGTCTGGTCTGGTCCTCCTGAGCCTTATGTAATTTCTTCCTCTCCACTGAGCTGAATCCTATCCTTGTTCATTCCATTTAATATAACTCAGGGGTTCCTCTAGCTTTGAATTCCCTTGTCCCTTGTGCATAATCTGAATATGATGTCTTAAAATTCTCACTCTTTTTTTCCATATATACATTTTAATTCGACTTATAGATCTCAGAGTAAATATCAAGATTTCGTTGGTTCCTCGTGTATGACCCCCATTTACCCGTACCTTTGCCAAGTCACTGATGCCTCCTTTCCCTCACTGCCCAATGGGGACAGTAGTTGAATCTGTCTTTGGCCAGTTCTCAAGCATATTAAGTTATTATGAAACACTTCTGTTCTTTAGGAGATCAAATAGCATGTGGAGAAACTTTTATAAACTGTGAGGTGCTATGTAAATGGCAGTGAAATTATACCACTTCATACTTTCAAAACTATATCAAAGTAAAGTGTTGGATTTCTGTATAATTATGAGTGTCCCTAATAGTAATGGTCCTCCCTTGAATTGTGCAACTAAAATGGAAAAACCTATTCAGTCCTTTGACTGTATGGAAATATCACTCATATTTAGAAACATATTTCTACAGTATAGAGGTGTAAAGCTTTTAGTTAGAAAGCAATTATTTCTAAATATATATACACATTAAAAATGCCTGGGCAATATATCATAGGCTTATACGAACTTACAAATAAATATTAAAAGGAAAATTATTTATTTCTAAACCTCACTGCAATAAACCCATACTAATGGTTGAGTCAGCTTTTTTTTTTTTTTTTTTTGTCACTGTGACCAAAAGACCTGACAACTTAAGAGGAGGAAAAGTTTGTTGGCTCGTGGTTTCAGAGGTTTAGTCCATGATGGGTTGACTCCATTGCTCTAGGCCTGAGGTGAGACAGAACATCAAGGTGGAAAGACCTGGGAAGGGGAAGCAGCCCAGGACATGGCAACCAGGAAGCAGAGAGAGCTCTGCTCACCAGGAACAAAATATAAACGGGAAAGGCATACCTCGAGTGACCTACATACTCCTCTAGCCACAACCTGTCTACACCCAGTTAATCCACAACAGTGGATTAATCCACTAATTAGGTGATGGCTCTCATAACCTAATCACTTCACCTCTGAACATTCTTACATTTTCTCACACATGAACTCTTGGCGGACACGTCCTGTCTAAACCATAACAACTAGTTTTATCATTTGACAAAAAGATAAAAACATGATTTATCTCCCCTTTTTGGGGGGAGTACCAGGATTGAACTTGGGGTCACTCAACCACTAAGCCACATCCCCAGCCCTATTTGGTATTTTATTTAGAGACAGGGTCTCACTGAGCTGCTTAGTGCCTTGCCATTGCTGAGGCTGCCTTTGAACTCTCGGTCCTCCCTCCTCAGCCTCCTCAACAACTGGGATTATAGGCCTGTTCCACCACACCCAGCCTGATTCATCTACTTTAAAAAAAAAAAAATGTATTTGTTCTTTTTAGTTAAAAATGACAATAAAATGTATTTTGATATATCATGCATACATGGACTATAACTTCCCATTTTTTTGTGGTTGTACATGTTGTGGCATTACACAGGTTGTGTATTCATATAAGAACAGAGGAAAGTTATGTCCAATTCATTCTACTGTCTTTGCTATTCCCATACCCCTTCCTTCCCTTCATTTACCTTTTTCTAATTCAGTCAATTTCTATTCTTCCCCCCACCCCCCATTCATTGTGAGTTAGCATCTGCAAATCAGAGAGAACATTCAGCCTTTGGTTTGGGGGATTGGCTGATTTCACATAGCATGATAGTTGCCAGTTGTATCCATTTACCAGCAAAGCCATAGTTTCATTCTTCTTTGTGGCTGAGTAATATTCCATTGTGTAAATGTATCACCTTTTCTTTATCCATTGATCTGTTGAAGGGCACAATAGCTTAGCTATTGAGCTGCTATAAACATTGATATGGTCGTGTCACTATAGCATGCTGATTTCAAGAGATTCATCTACTTTATTTATTTATTTATTTTTAAAATCTTTATTTTGTTTATTTATTTTTATGTGGTGCTGAGGATCGAACCCAGTGCCTCACATGTGCAAAGGCAATTCTCTGCCACTGAGCCACAACACCAGCCCTCATCTACTTTATTCCAAGTTTGAGAACATTGGCATTTTCTATCATATTGCTATTAAATATTATGCAAAGTTTTGAAATTTTGGAACATTGGAAGTTTAAAAAATATTATTACAAGGTTTTCTCATTGACCTAGAGGTAGGCTGAAATGTTTTCTTTGCTGTCACTATGAAACAATCTGTGCCTAATTCAGATATAGTAAATTATGTAATATGCACTGACACGAAAATACCAGTAACGCAGCACATCAGAGTACTCTATTTTAGATCCACTTATTTTATCTCTTACTTGCTAGTTTTGGACACTATGTGGAAATGCCCTAACTGCAAAAAGAGGAATATTTGGCAAAACGGGGGATCTTCAGACCATCCTTTGCCTTGCATGTGCCAAAGAAGACGTCACCTACTCTGGTGCTTTAAATGGTGACATCTACGTCTGGAAAGGGCTCAACTTAGTCCGCACCATTCAAGGAGCACACAGTGTGAGTATTACCATGTGGAAATTTGGAAATGACTTACTCAATCAGTTAAGATCACATATCCCTGTTGTCGAATACTCCTGAAGTGTTCATGATTTCCCAAAGTGTTTTTGTTCATCGAAGAGAAAAAAATATTTCATAATAACTGATTCTGTCCCAGTGGATCTGGGATTCTGCTGCTGCTCTGTGGCCCACAGTTGGACTAGGAAGGTCATAGGCAGCTCTTGCTTTCATGCTAGTTGGTGAACTAGACCTTCCTCACTCCATTGAGGTGGTGGGTGTTGGCCCCCTGCATCAGTGTCACAGGTTCCTAAAATGTAGGCAGATCCATTGGGTTCCTAAAACGTTGCTTTTTAAAAAATACAATCTGTGATCAATTTAGAAATGGTTAAGGAGCACTAGAAGTACTTGGGGCAATGGTTATAATCATTGCAGTACTGGAGAGTGAACCCAGGGCCTCACACATGCTCAGCAAGCAGTGAGCTATATATCCAGCCCTTTTTATTCTGTGACTGGGTCTCATTAAGTTGCCCAGGCTGGCTTCACACTTGTGATCCTCTGGCCTCAGCCTCCTGAGTAGCTGGGATTACAGACATGCACCACTACTCTGTTGATTGTTTTTTCTTGTTGTTTTTTAATTTAGCTGAGATGAAGACTGTTACAAATGGCTACTTGGTCAATTGTGAGAATTTCAGTAGAGAACAAGCTGTTTTATTTTTTTGTTTTGCTCTTGTGTTTTTAAATCAAGATTCAACTGTGGCAACTATAATGATTGCAGCATTATTTATTAATCAACAGGCTGGAATATTTAGCATGTATGCTTGTGAAGAAGGCTTTGCCACTGGTGGGCGAGATGGTTGTATACGATTATGGGATACTGATTTCAAACCAATAACCAAAATTGATCTCAGGGAGACAGAACAAGGATACAAAGGTAATATATGTATGAATGCTTATCTGTGACTCTGAGTGTTAAACACAATGCAAAGTTCTTTATTTATGTTTAAGAGGCATCGAATATAATGTGAAATTCTGTATTTCTCTGTACCTCACCTTATTCTATAAAGGATTAAGGAAGTTTATGTAAATATATTGAATAAGACCAGCAATACATTAAAAATAAGTGGACATCCTTTTTCCTAAGTGGCACAAAGTTGTCTGTATATGCAGGAGGTAGTTTTCAGTGATCAAACTAAGAAGTGCTGGACAAGTTTGTCACCCTAGATGTGACTCTTCTCAGTCTCTGAAAACAGAAATGAATGATAGGAAAAATGGGACAAGGAAAATATTCTTAAAAAATAGCTTTGAACTAGTAGCCAGTTTAGAACTGGCTACTAGTTTAGTAGAAGTTTAGAACATGAACTCAGAGTTAGGGGGCCTGGGTTAAAGTCCAAATTTTAACTCATGATTTGAGACCTCGGTCAGATTTCTTAACATCTTTGGGCCTGTGCTTCCTCATAAATGAGTGTAATATTAGCAGGGAACTCAGAGTTTCATGAGGATTAAATATACTTACACAGTGCTGGGGATAAATCATGATGCATAGTCAGCACTCTGTAAGGGGTAGCTGTAATTCCAACATACAGCATGTGGGTGTAGAATACCAAGCAGCTCATACACATTTTTGCGCTCTCAGGGTAGGCCTATTACCTTTTCATAGATAAAGAATTTGAAGCTCAGAAATAGTAAAGTAGAAAATGAAAATAGGAAAGATAAGACACAGTCACAGCAGCGTTAATATTCTAAGCACAGATGGTCCCCAGACCTGACCCCAGGCTCCTGTAGCCAGTGCTGTGTGAGGAGTGCTCAGTACCATGAGTCCTAGGATCCACGAGATGAAAACTTCAGTATTCTTCAAGTGACGGGGAATCACTTCCCATTTGAGATCAGAGAGAAATTTCATGTGAGTCTTCTTAGTAAGGACCCTTGACATGGAGGTCCACAGTCTCCAGAAAGCCTGAAATGAGTTGTTCTTCATGGATCTTTATCACAAAGTCTGTACGTGGGCTGATGGTGGTGCTGCCACGCATGTTCTGTAGGCCACATCTTGTGGCCATGTGTCCCACTCTCTGATACCTGGGGTAGATTTCAGAGGACTGAGAGAAGAAAGAAGGGACTGCACATCCCTCCGGCCATCCTCCTTAAATAGTGTTTTCAATCAAGCTTTTTTAAAAATTGAGCATCTGGGAAAGTGAGCTGGACATTGTACTTCCTGTTTGTTACCCTGAGGCCAGCTTCTTTATATAACCATTAAATGAAAGAAAGTGTCTTGACAGTTGGCCCTTATAGAGATTGGACTGTTCCTTCCCAGAGAGGCTCAGAATCCTGGTGTGGATCTATCTCTGGATACAAGTCGCAGTGGGTGCATAGAAAGCTGTAGAATTTGAGGTTTACTTTGGTGTATGGACAAGGAGAGATCGGATAAAGGTCCTTAAGTTCTCCGTCTAGAGCATGATTCAGTGTAACTTAAAAAAATATTTAGAAAAATATTTCAAATAGATATGAGCAAGCGGGCTGGGGATGTGGCTCAAGCGGTAGCGCGCTTGCCTGGCATGCGTGCGGCCCGGGTTCGATCCTCAGCACCACATACAAAACAAAGATGTTGTGTCCGCCAATAACTAAAAAAATAAATATTAAAATTCTCAAAAAAAGATATGAGCAAGCAAGTCCCTGTAACAGCAATATTTGAAAAAAAAAAAAAAGTAAAGCAGTCAAAATGTTTGACCTTGAACCTTCTTGACATCCTTCAAGGTATAACTAAAACCAAAACATTTCCTTAAATAACTGGTAAGTTAACTTGCTAGATAGGATGGTTGACCATAAACTGGCTAAATATTGGGAGAGCATAGACTTGACTTGAAATAATGACTTCCTTTTGGCAATCACTTTGTTCACCTCTTTCAAAAATCATATCTTATAATTAATGTGTAAAATTTAAAGCACAGGGATCAGGACAGACGCCATTATTAATTCACCCTGCTATAATTTTATTTTAATCTGATATGAAGTCCTTGACCATGACTCTCAAAGGCCAGTTTAGGAACTGGTTCTAAATGAGCAACTATGTAATGAGGGTTTGTATTGATCACACACAATCAACCCCATGGCCAACTCCTGTTTCCCACGTCAAAGGAGGACAGTCAAGGGTATCCTCCACCTTTTATCCCTCTCAGCAGATTCCCACCTGCCTTTGCAGGATCAAAGCAGATCTGGATGGTGCATGGTGAACAGATGGAACTTGAAATAAGCCTGCATCCTGTGAGATATGGCCTGTGGTACCTGGGTTTGAGGTATATTGGGGAGGGACTGCTATGCCTATTACATGAATGGTTAATGGGACAGTAGCCTATATTTCAGGAGGAGAAATGGACTCTGCTTTTAAAGATGTAGATTATGTTCCTGTTCAAGCTCAAGGGAGTCGTAACTGGGGTGGGGAGTGGGAAGGAGCTCCCAGGAGAGTCGGGGTGGGGACTGCTCAGAACGCAGCCTCATAGATCACTGAGTGTCCAGCCATCTTCTTAAGTTTTAGAATTGCTGCTCCTCGCTGATACTCTTGTCTACTTTTTAAACTGATGTTAATGCATCTTTTTAATAAAACTTCTTATGGTAATTAATGGTAATAGTATTAATGGTAACATGGGCTTAATGTACTTTTTTTTGGCTCATTCAAGTTTTAATTATTGAAATAAATTTTATCCACATAGCACCCATTTAAACACACCCCCCAGCATGGTGCCTGGGATGACCTACTTTGGGAGCTCTGTCACACAAGTCTCCTATGGACCATGAACTTTAATAGAGATGCTGGTGTCCGTTCCAGCTCTCAGTGGAAAAACCATACACATCTCAAGTGAAAAGAACAAGAGGCTCCTGACTGAAGTGTTGGTAAAAACCAAATCCAACCCACCCATCACCCCAACTCGGGGTTCTCCAGCCTTCATGGCCTGAGCTGTGCAGATCTTGAGCCAGAGCTCGGTGCCAACCTCACGCTAAAGAAGGCAAGGAGGCTGTTGTGTTTGGAAGCTGCTTTTGCACAGCTGAAACCCCAAGAGAGTCTCTGAACAGGCCTCCTGTTGTGATCACTGAACCAGCTCTCCAGGGACAAGGGTAGGACCTCTAGAACACATGGAGATGTGTCCCAAGGCCACAGTGAGGCAGGAGTCCCCAAACAGGTGTGGGACTTAAAAAATGTAGGATCTGAGGAGGAGATCAGAGGTAATGAAGAGGTAAACAGTTTTCTGGCCTAGACAGGTACCACGCCCTTGATCCTTCAGCCAGGGCCTTGACCCTTTCAGCATGCCTTTTAGTGTGGGGTTAAAGAAGAGGGAAGAAAACAGGGTGCAGAAAGGACAGAACAGAAAGAATGGAGTGGACAGATGTTTGGGGTAGTTTATCACACCCTGAAGGAAATCTTGACCCTCTGTTCTATCTACTTTTTGTTTCAAAAGTGGAAATGAAGTACATTTGAAAGGAGCAAATCCAGGCAAGGAAATGTTAGAACATCTAAGCTTTCAGTTTGAACATGAACCTACACGTATGGATGGTTTTACAAGAACTTCTCCATATACATGAGCTTGCTTTCGTATTTTTGTTGTTTGGGTAACAATGACTGTTGAATTCATTTCCATGGAGATACAGTGATTTCTCAGTTTGCTCAAATGGCTTTCTAAACCAAATTTAGCCACAGAATTAGGGTCATATCCCAATACTCATGACTTGGTACTAATAATTATCTGTGTTTGTTAAATTAAAAAAAATTAAAATTAAGAAGCCAGTACTTACCAGCATTTAGAAATCAAGTGTAATGTGATAAGCACAGTGGGCTACCTGTAAAGACTTCCATTGCTTCTCCTGTAGACTTGTAGACCTATAAAATTAATCTGACAATTTCCAAGTTTTTTTAATGTAAGGTTTGCATACATTTGCATTTTCTAATAACTTGTTAGACATGGAGAGAATGATTTTAAATGAACTGCAATACATACTAAGCTCAGAAAAAATAATTCAGCTTAATTATAAAGAGACACTATTATTTCTCTTACATCTTTGTAGTCAAGCTTGAGCTAATTAAGACATTTGACTTCCAGTGAAAACAATTAACTCTACTTTAGATTGAGGGTGAAATCAGTTTAGAGTCGGGTCATATTCACATCAACAAGAATCAGTTAAGGCCGGGATTGATTCTTAGGGCTCCTTCCTCCCCAGCTTACAGCTTATTCAAAGAAAATGTCCTTCACATAATCAGGAAGACCATTCCTCGATCAAGGGAATTGTAATGTTTTAGTTACACCAGCGACTTGGACATCTTTTGTGAGTTACTAGATTTTTTTGTGTTCAAATTTTCTCTAGTGCCAATTGTACATGATGAATCAACAACCTAATTCATGTAGTGCGTTAGCTTTCTGTCACTGACAAAATATCTGAGAATGATAATTTAAAAAGAGGGAAAATTTTATTTTGACTTACAGAGATATCAGTCCACTAACACTCAGAGCCATTATTTCTGACCTAAAGTGAGGCCGAACATCATGGCGAGGAAACATCATGGAGGAGGGAAGCTGCTCACTCCATGGAAGCTGGATGCAAAGAGAGAAAGGAGCTGGGGACAAGATGCATGCTTCTAGGCACACCCTCAGTGGCCTCCTTCTTCCAACGAGGCACCACCTCCTTAATATTCTACCACTTCCAAACAGTGCCACCACTAGGGACCCAGCCTTTAATACATGAGCCCCTGGGGGACATTTCATATCCAAACTATAACACTGAGCATCTTTTACCTGCAATTCTGAAAGTGAAACAGTTTAGAATAAAAATTTTGCTGACAAATAAAAATTTGTTAGCAGAACCCGACCTGAATAGTTATGAAGCTGGTTGGTGTCTTATACATATGAATTTTCCATAGGTTTCACTACAGAAATGTTTGATTCGAGGTGG